CTCCATTGACATTTCTTGGTGGGGAGGGTCCCTGCAAGGGAAACATTGAACAAGCAGCAGTATCTAGTCCAAAAAGAAAAACTTGGAAAGATCTAGAGTAGCATAGGTATATCTGAGTGGCAAAATCTATCAAGTAAATATCACACCCAAGAAGGTCAATAGGATTCCTTTCTATAGGAATCAAATAATCAGAAATATTTTCAAAAATGTCTTGTGTATGCAAAGCGGAAAATGAAGAATCCAACTGACAGTGGTTGGAGTACATCACATCACTTTTACTAACACAAGAAGTGGGTGAAAAAAGAGTGGAAGAAGAAGAAGATTCATGCACAATATGATTATGCAATGCAATATTATTATTTACATAGCTACTTAAATCAAGAGGCAAGTCACAAGAAAGAATTAGACGAAAAGATTCATTCTTATTTACAATTTTGTCTTTTAAAATTTTTGAATCTTTCCCTACTAACTCATTAGAAGCATGCAACTCAATGGAATTTTCAGAAAGATAATTTCCAAGGCTATGATAAAATTCACATTTCTCCACAGGATTAACATCCAAGCAACTCACATCAAATCATGCTTTATATGGTCAGTACTTTTAGTACTAGAAGGCGATGCACACAGTTTACTAAAATTCTGCTTTTGCAACCCAACAAGTATATCATACTTGTTATCAATGCAATCCATGCATATAGTGTGGGCATTACAAGAACAAGATAGAGGTTCATTCAAATCAGAATCAATTGCACCATCTAATCTAGCACTAGAAAGAGAAGCATGTTCTTCACACAAAGAAGCAGTGACAGTGCAAGCAATATCATCAACTAAACAACTACTATTAGAAGTGTTCAAGTGAGAATTTTTATTGTTAAGCATTTGAGGGGATTCAGCTATGATTTCCTCATCCACCTCATCATCACTCACATTATCAATAACTTCAACAGGAATAGTAGTTCTAGTACAAGGGTCAATCTCCTCAAAAAGAGGAGCAATATTACCTGATGTAGGGCACGAGTCCTTGTGAGTTTGTAGATGTTCTTGCTTCATCTCAGCCTCTTGCATGAGTGAATCTAGACACTTTGATTCATCTTTCCCAATCTCAGACTCAATTCGCGCTATATCACTCAAGAACTTCCCAATGCACTTTGACATTCTTCTAGCTCTTCCTCTAATTCCTTAGAGATCCCAGATATCTCTTCCTCTTCAAGTAATCTATGGTAGTATGAATTCAAGCGATCATAAGCTTCTCTTAAAAATCGTATCTGGTCATTCTTAGGAATAGTGAGAAATGGGTCAGGTTCACTGAATTCATGTTCATGAGATTGGGGAAGAGAATGGTACGTGGATTGGGACGGGGGTTGGTGGTAATATTCACATGGAAAAGGAGATGGTTCTTGGTGGTATGTATACGGTGGAGATATATGATTAAAGTATGGTTGGTGAGGTGGGAGTGATGGGTTAGGTGATTGGTGTAGATGATGGTTCATCCAAGAGGTGTCATGAGCATAGATGTGATTAGGCGTTTGAGACTCTAGCTGAGCTTGGAAGGAGTCCAACTGTTGTAACAACTCTTCAATCTCTTGAGAACATGTTGAATGAGAAGGTGTTTCATTCCACGTACTATTTCCTGCAAAAAATTGAGAATGCGAGAGTAGATCATGATTGCTATTAATCCAAGCCATGAAAAACAAAAAACCAGAAACAAATGCAAACTACTAAAAAAAAAAAAACACTAACATAAATGAAAACTAAAAAGGCTCAACAAATGAACCACAATCAAGGCTACTTGACACTTAATTACTAGAGAACCAATTTCTTGGCTCCCCGGCAACGGCGCCACTTGAAGTTGTACTTCCCTTAATTGTCGCTTTGGGGTTACTCCAAAAATTAACCGAATTAATGCAATATAGTGCAAAACTCGGGTCGTTTCACTTTGAGGAGCCGAAAACGAAATTAAACCCTAGTAAATAAATGCAAGTAACCTAAACTATAAAAAGAGATTTTTGATTTTGAAAAGCTGTTAATTAAATACTACGAATCAAATTGGAATTAAAATACCTTTTTTTTGTTTTTATATAAAAGTGATTAAAATGAATGGAGATTAAAGAAATGAAAATGAGACACACAGATAACACTGATAAAAATCAATCCTCCAATTCAACAACGCAGGCAATCATCACTCTAAAAGATGTGGGAGTTAAAAACAATGAATTAAGAATTATAATTAAACTTTTGATCCAACAACCGAGCCACCTCGAGTTGCCACAAAATATTTTCCTAAAATCCCAACTTACTAACTGCAACCAGAATAGTAAAATGGGATTAAGGATGCTAAAAACCAATACTTAATTAGAACTCTTAAATCCAAAATAACAGAATTAAAGCTAGCAAGAGACTATATGATCCAAAATTCTAAGCCACCTTAGAAAATCACAATATATTAATTCCAAAATCAATACAAATGTCATAACCACAACATTATAATTGAGATTAAAACTATAAACAGCCCAATGTCAAATACTAAGCAATAATTCAGTCACAATAATCCCTAAATATAATCAGATTAAGCAATACAATTATCCCAACAATCAGAAAAACTATCCTAAGACCTAGGAATTGTTAAACAATTATTGAGTAAGAAATTAAAGCAACTAGAACTCCCCCTTAAAGATCCAAGCTCCTGCCATTATTGTTGAATTGGAGAATCAGAAGATCTTAGCCACGGTTTGCCATCAAGTTTGCTGCCACAATCAGTATTTTGCTACGGTCAGCCATGGAAGAACACTGTTCACGCTGAATGGTTCACGTCTCTGTTTCGCTGCACCCGGGAGAAGAAGAAGATGAAGCCGCCTCACTCGTTCAGCGTTGCGTCTCCGCCTCAGCTCGTCGGTCGCCGCCTCGCGTGTGTGTGTTTCCGTTCGGCCTCTTCGTTTTTCCGCTGGTGCCGCTTGCGTCTTCGCCTCCCCTGTTTCGTGTGTGTTCGGCGTCCAGCTTGTGGGTCTCCTTCGGCGTGCTCTGCTCTGTTTTTCGTTCTCTGGCTCGGCGTCCCCCTCTTGCTGATGAAGAATAATATGATGTTAGGTTATTAGTGGGGTGGGGCAAAACGCAACGTTTTGCCCCTTTCTTTTTAATTATATATTTTTTTTCCTTTTTTTAATTAATTTATTTATTTCATTTTTATTTCTTCCAAAACCCTGCAAGCAAAATTCAAGGATAAGGTAGCATTAATTGTCCTCAAAAATCAATTAGTCACAATTAAACCAAAATATGACAATTTTGCCCCTATAAAATAATAATTCAAAATAAAATATATTAAAATCAATTACCAATCAATTAAGGTCAAAAAGACTAATTAAGTTGACAAAAACCCATATAAAAGATATCAAAATATATAAAAATAATTGAGTTTGTCAACTCCCCCACACTTAGCCTTTTGCACTCCTGGGCAAAACATCATTAAAGAAGAATCCAATAGAGAGACTCAATGCAAGCAAACATAAAACCAACTAAGCATGAATGTGCAATTAACTCAAGCAACCTTTATTCTTAATTAATCAACAATCATAGAATACTTCAGTGCAAAGAAATTAACACAAGAAACATAGCAGGATAAAAGAAGAGAAACATAACAGAGCTCACATAGGGTACAAGGTTTCACTCATCTCTCAAATGGGAAAAATTTCACTCAATCCACCTAGATTAGCACCTACCATAAGCTTGTAGAGATTCTAATATCTCCACCACTAGCATACCTTAGATTCATGATCAAGGGGACTTGAAGGGTTGTAATGTTGGAAACTATGGCCAAATGAATAAAATGGACTAACAAATGAAATGCATGAGTAATAAAGTATCAACTCAAAGTGAGCTTAAGTACAATCACAAAAGAACACCAAAGTGCAGATTTGAAACTTTTGAAATAGAAATCCTTGCTCTTCAAACCACCATTGAATGCCTTATTTCAAATTTATTCTTTTGTTGCAACTTATTTTCTCTTTCTTTCTTTTTTTTTTATAACTTTCTTTCTTTGGCTTTTTCTAAACATTTTCTTTTTTTATTGCCTTTTTCTATTTCTTTTTTTTTTTCTTTTGGCATCCAAACCCAAGAAGGCAAAGATATAGACTTTAATGATGTACTTTTCAAAATAAAAAATCCAAATGTAACTCATGCAAAACACTTGCTAAAAAAAAATGAATGGAATGAAAATGAAGGCTCAAAGGGGTGAACAAAGGTTAAATGAAGTGGTTTGTGTTTGGGTAAAGGTTTAGAAATGAATGCCCCTATCATCTTCACAAACCTAGGTATTAATGCAGCTTTGAAAAAGAATCTAGACAAGTTCTAGAGGATAACCAAAACTAGATGAAAATCACACAAGATGAGAAAAAATATATGGCTCAAAAATCCTTCAATCAAGGCTTTCTCCAAGATGTTTCCTCCTTAAGGATCAAGCTATGAAACAAGGTTAATAACACTACACCAAGAGTATTATACTATGCTAATCAACTAAGAACAGAAATCACTCAAATCAAATGCAATCAAACTCAGCCGTACAACATTCACAAGCATTGTGCAAAAGGATTTTAAAAGAGATGCCCAAGGATTACAAAAGTCAAGTCAGCAACAAAGTGAACAGCAACTCGCCCATACAGCAGTGCAGAACACTGAGGCGAATGAAAGCAAGAGGACATAGAAACTAGCAGCAAAATTCTCAAGCAAGAATCACTCTCAAATCATGTGATGCAATTCAAAAATCAACCAATAAGGCAAAGAAGAGAGCAATTATAGCAGCAATACTTAGGAAACAAGATCAAATCCAAAGGCAATTTTTTTTTTTTGGTTTCTTGTTTTTTTTTTGAAAACAAATCCTAACAAAACATAACACAGACCCATTTGAATGCAGTGGATGCAAAGAACTAGGGTTTGGCCCTAGGTACCAGTGTGAAATGGATTGTCCCTTTGTCCTACACGAGGACTGTTTCAAGGCTCGCCCTACGGACCAATCCAGAACCCATCCATTCATGGGTAGCTGCAGATTCCAGTTTCTCTGGGAACCTCCCGGCGGACCAAACCGCCGATTGTGCGACGCTTGCGGGAGGGACGTTAGAGGGTTTGTGTATCATGATCAATACAAACACAAGCTTGACTTGCACCCTTGTTGCATGAACCTTAAGAGCACCATGTCTGATCCTTCTAATAGGATGACGCTGATTCTTAAGGACAAAATGCCCTCCAAGTGTGTGAAATGTGAGAGGAAGGATTTAAAAGTACCGAGCAAAGGGTCGTTCAGAGGGTGGTCCTACGTGTCTTCTTGCGGAAACTATTGTTACCATGTCTATTGTGTGAAGAAATTGATTCTGGATAACTGGGAAAGTGGCTATTTCAATGTTGGTTGCTCTTCGTCTCCTAGAGGAAGAAACTTGTCTATAGATGAGACTGCAAGCTCAACCTCGATCACATCAACCAAAAGTTCGTTGGCCTTGGCAAGGAGAGGCTCCTCGAGATCATCTCTCACTCGTGGGCTGATCAAACTGGCGAAGATAGGTTTCAGCGTTATAATATCAGTTCTATTCGGGAATCCAACTCCACTGTTTACTGCTCTAGCTGAAAGCTTACTGGATTAAAGGTTTTTGATAGATCCAGGTCGGGTACATGATATACATATGTACATATGTATGTATATAATTTACGTAGTGGCATTTTTATATTGATCGTAATCCTTGAGTTGTTTGGATTACTCTTTTAGGTGTGACGAACTTGTGATAGCTGATGATTTATCCAAGTATCCGCCAATTGGCTTCGTGTTCTCTTGGCACTTGGTTGTACTTTTGCACTGTTTTTGCTAATAAAACTTTCTTTCATTTTGTTTTCCTTCACTGGATTCTCCATCCGTTAAATTTTAGGTTCGAGTCCAGATTGATTTCTTCTTTAATTTGTTTTTTATGTGTAAAAGAACATTCTAGGTTTCGAATGTATGTGAGACTCTTTAATGTGAAAACTATCTGGAGATGAAGTCGCAAATTATAACTCATAAGATTACGAAAATCATTAAAAGAAGGTTTAATATTATAAATTTCAAATGATGATTTCGATGAATTTTTAATGAAAAGACTTGGATATTTTTTTAGCCAGAGAAAAAAAGAGACTCAGATATTTAGTATTATATTGTGTCCTCATCATGGCGGGCATGTGGAATTTTTATAAATTATTTATTCTGTAACAAAAGCTATTATTAGCACTTTAAAATTCTCTTGATCTAATTTAGTTGGATAAACAAATATTAAACATATACAATTAAATGTCTTAAGTTTTGTTTATTTTTAAAGTGATGGAAATAGAGAGAACAACCGTTGATCTTTTGCCTCATGTTCCAAAACCACACGCAAGTAGAATCACTACGACTTATCCAGTTCCTTTTTTCCCAAGAAATAAGAACCACTAGGACTCAACTTATGCTATCCGCGGAGGATACGCTACTAATTAAAGAAAGGGAGATAAGAGTTTCTAGATGCAAGTGAACCTCATAATGCAGTGTTGTGCTATGTCTAACTGAAAAGTAAATTTACTTTGACTATTCTTCCATCCCTTAGTTTCTATCTTCACCTCCCAATGCCTCATATATATCCAAATCCCTTTCCTCCTTCTATCTTCTGCTTTTCTGGGAAGTATCCTGTTAGCGTAAAAAAATCCATAATTGACTGACTTGTTTCTTAGCTCTGGCTTTTCCCACTAAACTATTAACATTTGGGTGGCTATGAACTAATTATAAAGTCACTTTTCTTGCGTTGACTAAAACCATGCATCAAGTTATTATCAACCTTGCCTGACAAAGATTTGCCTGTTTGGAGATTTTGTATCAAAAATCAATTATTGTGGCAAACTGATGGATTTCTTCAAAACAAATCAAACAATCCTTACAATGTCAAAATCAACTTTTAGACTGAAATTTCATACCAGCTTCTGTTAATTATAAATCAATTTTATTTAAAAATATTATTTTCTCATCGCTTATCCAAATAGGTCCATTCCATATATAACATCATATAACGTCAGAGCTGACACAAACACGACTATATATCAATTTTATATGTGTGTGTGTGTGGAAAAATTACGCATAACTCCCAAGTAAGAAAATTGAATACAGATATGTTTTAAAAATTTCATACTTAAATTTACATATTTAAAAGTCACATCATTTATAAATAAATTTGTAAGAAATCAAATTTCTTAAAACTCATTATATTTTTATCTGACAATATATAGTGTTGTGCTAGGTCTAGCTGAATAGTTAATTTAGTTATTGAATATCCAGGAAGCCTTTTTCTCAGTTATTTCAAAAGATAATAACCTCTCCCACTTTTTCCTCTCATTATTTGAATTTTAAAAATAATAATTAAAAAAATAATTAGATAAATAAGTATTGTTTTTTCGTTTTGGTCTTTAATACACCAAAATCCCTTAGTTGTGGATCTTTCATAGAACCCAATATCTCCTATTCATACTTGATGGATTTTTTTTTTTTACAAATGCTCCCCTTCCTATTTCATATTAAGCGCTCCATCATGATCGGCGGGCACATGTGTCTTGGTTAACAGTACGAAAGAATTGTTCTCTTGACGATTTGTGCTTGCAGCAATTTTATATTTTAGACATCCTAAATTTATTTACACGCACTTTTTTCTATGGTATATAGCCTTCTCGCAGATAGAATATCCACGATTATTAAATTTATAAATAATATTATAGGAGACATCGTCTTAATTTTAAGCAATCTTCCTTTGACTCATATATATATATATATATATATTACTTTAACAGTAAGCAATCGTTTTCCTAGCAACGCCATCTAATTAACATGACCACTAGATATATGATAAAGTAGAACACGTTGACTGATATTTTCATGATAGTTTTAAAGTCAAAGAATATCAATAAAAAATTAATTATACCTAATGAAAAGCAAGAATCTATTCGCTTGCTTCATGTTACGTCCTTTCTCTTCTATCTCACTATACAATTTAAGTCTAAACACACAATATATGGACCCAATTTCTTCTACTCTTATTTTATATGATGTCCAATTCAAATAATTTGTTGTAGTGGTGAGAGGTATCATAGATTTGGGATGAGAGGGGTTTGCTAGCTAACTTTAATTACATCTCCAAGTTTGGTTACTGTACACAATTACGATTAGTCTTTACGTTTTAAAGGATAAATAAAATTGTTAATTAAAATTATGTAGTAGTGGAATCATTATGTCAGGGATTACTGTCGCCCTAATCATCTCTGGTTGTTTTTTTTTTTTAAATCATCACGCGTCTCTTTCTCCGGTAAGTCTTCTATGTTGTCCTTCGTTGTCCCTTCGTCTTGGAAGTTGGGATAAAATTGATGGACCAAATCGATAACGTAACTAAGACAAACTTGAGAAATTTAATTTATTGATAAATTTAATTACTTCATTGTCACTTCTCTTGTATGTGGGAACTGAGGGAGCAAGATTAAGTCCTTTTCTTCGTCAACGATGGATATATCAATTAAACGGCTGGAAAGCGGATAATATATAATAACCAAACCTAAAAGAATATAATCATAACTAAATTATATAATTATATTGACTGACTTCTGGCCCAAGAACATCATGATTTACTTAACTCTTGCTTTCTGTACAAAACTATTCAAACTTGAATGACTGATAAATGAATTCCTTATATATAAAGTCACTTTCTTGTGGATCCCATCGATATATTTAACTCTCCACATAAAAATTATGTTTTATTGAACGATATAATTCTGAAAATATATATTTTTTAAGCAGACTTTTATGAATAATTTGCAAATATGATAATTGGCGGCTAATTAATTAATCAGAGTGTCATGCATATGGTTTTCGGCATTTTGTGTCTTTTTGCTTCTATCATTTTTCAGTGCTCGATCATGTCCATGTGAAATTGAATAGTCATGATCTTACGCCCATTTCATGTTTTTATATTCTTGTTTTGTAATTTTATTTTATGAATTTTAGAGGAAAAGACAATGAGATATAATGAAGCATTAGTGAAAATAGTATTTACCTTTTTGTTAATTTCTTTTTCTGCATTTGTTTTGGAAATCAATATAACAATTAATGGGGGGGGGAGTTGTTTGGAGCATCCAAATACGCCTGCAAAAGCGAAAAAATCAATAGGATAAATTGGAACATTATTATTTATATTCATTTCAAATTGTGTCACTTTTAAAGTGAGATTAACGTAAGTTGATTTGATCTATTCGATATCTATGAAAAAATTGACGTAAAACGCTAACAACATGTTAATCTCATTAATAAGAGAATTTTTAATTTAACATACTTTATTACATAAGTTATTATAAAGAGCCGACATAGTGTAATAAGTAAATAGGTGTGAGGTGTATGTATTGTTATTTTTTAGTATTATTTATTTTGTTTCAACGAATCTAACCATGATTATTAATAGATTACTAACTCGCGTGGATTAAAAAAAAAAAAAACATCTATCGAACGAAATGATCAACCTTCCTTGCCCAAGTCAATGCAATTTAAGGGCCTACACAACGACTGCTATATGTCAATCATATACACATATGAAATTTATTTATAGGTCTAAAGTGAAAAAAATAAATACAGATATGTATAAAAATTTTCATATTTACAAGCAAAATTTATAAATATTGACTTCCTTAAAAGCTGTTAGTATTTAATTTTTTAACGTGAGACCTACGGGCAATTTTCCCTATATTTTCTTCGTCAACAATATATAGTACATAATTGGTTAGAAGTGATTAGTTACACCTCATCAAAAAAAAAAAAAAGTGATTAGGTAAGAAGTGATTGTGTACAAATGCTTCTTTAATGACAGATCAATAGTGCATTTATATATAACGTATTTTCAAAACATGAATTAAACATTTATAAAAGACTGAACATGCCAGTCGATTTAATAGTAAACTGAAAAATTGAGAAAAAAAAAATATTGAGGCAACGGACAGTACGAAAAGAGACATAAACTCGAGAAGGTAAGCTGG